TTGATATTGAGGGGACAGAAAGAGAACAAATACCTTTAGATGTAGAGTATGTAATACGGAATGTCCAGTTTGATATTCACTAAATTACTTCTGGTCCTTATTGCGTGTCATAATCTAGAAGTTATCCAGCAAGGATCTTACAGAGTATGTAGCTCTTAAACAATCTACTACACCATAAACAACAAATATGTCTGAAGTGGAAATGTGGGTCTTTGCTGATAAATTGTTAATTGTTATTTTAAAATTTCAACACTTGTTTTATGTATTTGTTATTAAATTAGAACACAACAGTTACAAAATAGAATCTGACATATTTTCACATGTTTTTAAATATTTGTGCTGGAACGTTTCCCGAAATTAAATATTTCTTTCACTATAGAAATATCTCGGTTTAGTTAAATGTTGATGATATCTAATATGTTTTTTAAATAAAAATATGAAAATATGATATTTTTACAGACGCTTGCCTGGCAGTGTGTGGGTATTCTGGCTGTAGTGACATGGACTGGGGGTCTTTGTGCTGTCATGTTCTACAGTCTGAAGGCGATGAAGATATTACGTGTTCCGTTAGAATTTGAACTTAAGGGTATATAATCTTGATATTATCTTTTTAATTTACCTACACCGTTTATTTAAAAAACTGCAAAAAAGATACTGTTTGAAAAATCAATCAGGTCTTCAACCTAATCTGAGTTATTAACTAATAACAAAACTATTATATCAATCTACTAGATGGAATGTTCATTTGAAGGAGTATCAATGACGTCTGACGTCAACATGTAGAAATGGTACTCTGTCAACACTCTGGCGCAATATATATATATATATATATTGGTTACAAAGCGGTGACATTTGTGCATATTCATCACCTTTATATAGTAAATAGTTAAGTATTTGAGATAATTGACTAGTAAATTCAACTGTTAGTTACTTAGCTCATATTTCTTATTTGACAAAGGGTTATGCAATTAAGATTAAATCAGTAATGATGTTTATAACAGTTAAAAATATTCCTTCTCTTTAACTTATCGCATCTCAGTCAATCTATTACTTTTGATATTCCAGGCATTGACCTACCAAAACACGGGCAAAGTGCCTACCCAGCCAAGGCTTATGGTGATAGCTGGGGGTCGGAAACATCAGATGATGTTCAGGAACCGCAACTGAAAGAAAATCCGGGTAAGTATGAATGTAGAAAGATCAACAAGAGTGACCTCCCTTTTATTGACCATCAACTTCAAAGAGTGAATAGAGATAATCCATCCCTGTTCAAGTCCAGTCGAACATTTAAAACGGTTGATCGGTCATATTTGGTGATTCAATAGCAGATTTGTTGGCCAGATCAAGTCATCATCCTACCTTTCACACTAGCTTCAGGATTAATCTAACTGATATTTATAGCTAAATGTAACATTTCTAGAATATAAGAACAGTCTATGATTGAAGTTTTAAGTAAGGTGCTGGTTATGGTTCAGCAACTATCCTATATATAGACCTTTGATAACATTGTATGAATTTGTCATGATTCCACACTACACTTCTACACTTTGATTTAATGTTTGTTGATTACTCCAGTACCACAATGTAATTTATGATTACATACTACTGTATCATGGTTTTCCAATTTCAAAAATTTCAAAAATATATACGAACTTCAGTACAGCCGAGCTTTACCTCCTACTAGAACGTTTCGTCTTTCATTAACATGTTTCCTTGTCTGACTTTCTGTTTTCACAGACACCAAAAACAGAACATTGAATGGAAGCAACTTCGGAGCATCAAATGGATCCTTTGTATCTGACGTCACCACAACGACACATATATGACGTCACATTTCTCTTCCGTTATTGTTGCGTTCTCCTAGTGTAAATATAAGTTTATTGTGTATTTCTGCTTAAACCTTTGTGCATTTTGGCGAGAACGAAGAGGGCTACAGTATTTTTTAAATTTTTGTTTTGTTTTTGTATTTAAAAGATTTATGTAGTTTAAATGATACCAAAATGATAATAAACTCATTATTAGAGCTACTATATACTTGCTGGGTGGTGCCAGGAGGTACAGGGTAATAAGATAGATCTGTGTGATAAATAGATAGGTTTATCAATATTAGGATTTACTAGATATGTGTGATAAATAGATAGGTTTATCAATATTGGGATTTACTAGATATGTGTGATAAATAGATAGGTTTATCAATATTAGGATTTACTAGATATGTGTGATAAATAGATAGGTTTATCAATATTGAGATTTACTAGATATTTGTGATAAATAGATAGGTTTATTAATATTAGGATTTACTAGATCTGTGTGATAAATAGATAGGTTTATTAATATTAGGATTTACGAGATATGTGTGATAAATAGATAGGTTTATCAATATTAGGATTTACTAGATATGTCTGATAAATAGATAGGTTTATCAATATTGGGATTTACTAGATATGTGTGATAAATAGATAGGTTTATCAATATTGGGATTTACTAGATATGTGTGATAAATAGATAGGTTTATCAATATTGGGATTTACTAGATATGTGTGATAAATAGATAAGTTTATCAATATTAGGATTTACTAGATATGCGTGATAAATAGATAGGTTTATCAATATTGGGATTTACTATGCATGTGTGTTAAATAGATGGGTTTATCAATATTGGGATTTACTAGATATGTGTGATAAATAGATAGATTTATCAATATTGGGATTTACTATGTATGTGTGTTAAATAGATAGGTTTATCAATATTGGGATTTACTAGATATGTGTGATAAATAAATAGGTTTATCAATATTAGGATTTACGAGATATGTGTGATAAATAGATAGGTTTATCAATATTGGGATTTACTAGATATGTGTGATAAATAGATAGGTTTATCAATATTGGGATTTACTTGATATGTGTGATAAGTAGATAGGTTTATCAGTATTGGGATTTACTATGTATGTGTGATAAATAGATAGGTTTATCAATATTAGGATTTACTAGATATGTGTGATAAATAGATAGGTTTATCAATATTGGGTTATAACTGATCTTTGTGTTTCATTTTCCTCTTACACGGACATTGTAAACTATTGAAAATGATAATGGAATGGATTAAGATAATTTGATGGTTAGGTTTAGCAGTAGTACTGCAGTAACCTGGACGTCCGGGGTTCGATACACCGAGCGACCGTGAAAAGGTAGAGACGTCAGATCCCCGACCACGTGGTCCAGCTTCATTCAGTCATAAGACCCAACGTACGCTTCCATTCCCGTCAACAAGAGTTATAAAGATAAGCTGATTAATGTAAAAATGAATTGTATAACTTAGATGGAAAAAGAGTCTCATACGAAAATCGGTGTTGCATTTTTTTGTTTACACTCTGGAGAGGCTGATGTGTGGTTTAAACCGCTTATCAAAGAAACCTGAGAAACTGTAGTAAAAAAACTCTTTGACTTTTTTATCGTCATCTGAAGAGCAATGGTCACTTCAGGGCTGCCAAAGTACGAATGTAAGTGCATGTGTTGTGTACATGTTTGTGAAATTATTATTGTGATAAAGCGTACCTGAAGCATAATTATAGTCTTACCATACGGAAGTGCTACTACACTGAAGGGTACTTCCAAAAACCCGTACCAACACACCTCATTATGAAGTGCTACTACACTGAAGGGTACTTCCGAAAAGCCGTACCAACACACCTCATTATGAAGTGCTACTACACGGACGGGTACTGTCGCACTAGCAACGGGTAGATCATGACCAGTCTATACACTACCTATATATCGAGGGTTAATCAGGAATTGGTTGCTAAATTCACTCTCTTATGACCCTTCAGGAAAACAAGCTATCTTCACATGGTCGAAAATGAGGAAGTAACGAAAGAAGCATTAGACAAAAATGTATAGACAGGAAAGAGAAGGTACAAACATTTAGTTGCCCTGTGTGATCATTCAGCGGAAGCAACAGGTACAAACACTGCGTGTATCTTATCCAAGAATGTATCTAAAACAAGAATATCTGTTCTCTTATGTTTCGATTCACATACAATATAGATATTAATCATACATTCGCACACATCAACTGGAACATTCACTTGTATTCACACATGTATTAATATAAACAGATATACACACATCACATTCATTCACACACTGGAACATTCACTTGTGTTCACACACGTATTAATATAAACAGATTTATAGACATCACATTCATTCACACACTGGAACATTCACTTGTATTCACACATGTATTAATATAAACAGATTTATAGACATCACATTCATTCACACACTGGAACATTCACTTGTGTTCACACACGTATTAATATAAACAGATTTATAGACATCACATTCATTCACACACTGGAACATTCACTTGTGTTCACACACGTATTAATATAAACAGATTTATAGACATCACATTCATTCACACACTGGAACATTCACTTGTGTTCACACACGTATTAATATAAACAGATTTATAGACATCACATTCATTCACACACTGGAACATTCACTTGTGTTCACACACGCATTAATATAAACAGATATACACACATCACATTCATTCACACACTGGAACATTCACTTGTGTTCACACACGTATTTATACAAAACGTCTGACTTCATACATAGCCTAACCGAGTCGTTTCATAATTTGTATCCTTCTTTCGAAACTTTATATATATCAGTCATTTTTGTAAATTATGATGATTTGTCTGAAGCCTAAACTACTACACCTGATGTCCTGAACTGACCATTACACCACCACACATACAGTACTGTAGAACTAACAAAAACACCAATGGACTGTGACCGACATTGACGAATCAGAGAAATCCTTTTCATGTCTCTTCCTTGCACTATAAGGAATATGACTATATTCTTTTTATATGAACAGTCACCTGTTCGAATCCAGCATCTATCCAGCAGCCAAGACCTTGCACTTATCTAAAACGTTCCTGGAACATATATATTGGAAGAGGTTCTATAATTTATAGAAGATGTCGAATTTATCTGAAATTAACACGACGGACTTACTCGTGAAAATCGCCGAGTTACAAAATGTTCAGGCGAGTCTTGTTCACTGGAAGGAATACACAAACGCCAACATTGATCATTTCTTTAGAATCAGCCTCGCCATCATGATTTTCTGTGAGTATTTGTCATTAATGTTGTTGTATTTTTATAACCATAAAAACGACATTCCACCTATCCTAATCAACGATTTAAGTAATTTTTAACCTTTTCAATAGACATTTATATTGCATTTCAGTTCGATTCTTAATAATAATTATAATTAATAATCATAATACAAACATCTTATCCTGATTGAATTTACTCACTCTGATAAATACTCGAGTCTTGATGAGGAACGAAGCCAAAATATTCTAAAGAAATCCATCATTTTATCCTGAAGTTTTTAATCAATTTAAACGATTCCTTTAGGTATAACCTTTGTTAGGATAAAATCTAAATAAATGATGAGTTTAAACAAAAAGAGTTTGAATAGGTTTCTTCTCGTTTGGTGTATATCTGGAACATGTTCGTGTACAAATCACGTAGACAATGATAACGTTAAGTATTTACAATCTTTCGTGAGGATTCCCAAAGCGAATGTAGATAAAACGACGACAGATATCTTAATTGTGTTTAACGTAGGTATAGCTATATGTATGTATACACTGTGGTATATAAATATATACATACATATATGCCCTAAGGCGATGTCACGACGAAGGGATCTCATTAGAGACCTTAACATGGTTTTTTTTTATCGTTGACACTAGAATGTGTACTGTTGTCATATATATAGAAAATTGATATAAGCGTGCAACGGAGAATTGCCAACGTTTGTTCACTATGACGTCATAGATAATCATTTAAATTCGTCCCTGTTCGTCAGCTTCATAACTGAGTAAGAGAAAACTATGACCTTGACCAACGTTTTACGACGTAGTCCTGTTAGTCGAACAATCTTAAATCTACTGTGTACAATACGTACATTCAATATTATTAGAAAGAAAGAGTATATCTTAATACATCCGATGCCTTGTGTCAATGCCCCCAAAGACAGATTTAACTACTGTTTAATTGTGTCAGGCTTTTTCATGTCAAATCACGAGAACACTATGCGGTCAGCGATATCTTCAATTTTACCTTAAATTAAATGTAAACAAAATCGCTTGTGTTTTGATCAAGCTGTATTTGTAAAGCGTAGATACATATCCTGACAGTAAATCACAGGATTATCAATACCCTGGAGCCATGGTTAACTCCTACTGATGTGTGGATAATGGTCAATGGGATATCAACGTAACGACACATGACTGTATAGTTCAGACTGAATCAAGATTTCAACGGGCTTTCCATGTTCCTTCCTACACAGCGAAACAAAATGATTTTTCCAAATACAACTACTTTTAAAAAAATGATTTTGGTCTTACAAAACGACGAATAAAAAATACTGACATGTCAACAGGACATGAGTTCAAATTCGCATTCGAGGAAACGACGTCAAATATAAAGAAAAGAAATATCTACAGGCCTCGAGACTCCTGAATATGGACAATATTGAGATCAGGTGTAAAGTAAGGATAAGCGTCCTCTGATTCACCGACGTTACCCTCCGTAAAATTCTTAGTCCAGGTCCATATTGTAAGTAGTGTTACATTAGAAAGCGTACACAACAGCAGTACCACCGTCACACAAGGAGATAGAATTTTGCCAATAATATCAGTCGCAATTAATCAGAATGGACATACCTAGTCGATTCTAGAACTATGCATGATACTGATAGTTTAGCTACATTATATTCGTCACGCAACATCAATCTGCCAATATGACTTGTTGTTACTTAAAGGTTAAACTTAACAAGTGATAAGTAAAAACAAATATTAAAAAAATATGAATCGGCATAATTCTTTATCATTTGAAAGGGTTAGATTGATATTTTAAAGTTCAATTTTCACTAACCACTTGTTAACAAGGACTGACAGGTGACGCATATGTTTATCCAATAAAATTCAATAATGTTGATATTATTAACATGTGATTTGGCTTTCTGAATTTATCAATGATGTAAGGAACATTAGTGGTGGACTTCTGTCAGACATCATATACTTTCGAATCAGTTATAGCTATACATATACATAAATATGACGCTTATTGATAATTGGATTAATGCTAAAAAGATATCAATAATATCTTCTGATCAATAACAATAATCACAAGATTTAAAACGTGTCGTTATACATAAGATCCCATCTATGTCTCTTGTCCTAATGTTGTACCATTAAAAGAATATCTCTTATTTCAACAGTGTTGGATATATCATAATATAAAAGTATTTAATGGTAATTACTATGGATAAAAAAACAAACGAACAAACAACAAATAACAAAAAACCCCAAAAAAAACCTAAAATACAAATACAAATAAAGAAAACAAAACAAAAATAATGAAAAAAACAAAGATAATAAAAGGAAAATACTAATGTAATTGAAATTCAAGCTCAAATATGTAAATAAAAGAAAGATTTACAAAGAGACTCCTAAAAAGTACAAATTACGATTTTGTTTTCCTGACGATAGGGGTTCTTCTGCTTCAATGACGTCACATGTCATGTAAATCTTGATAAATCCAAGTGAGATAAGTAAGGTATGTTGCACAGTTTACACTGCCTCCAGCAAAGATCTCAATGTGGATGACTGACAGACTAGTCTCCTTCTTATCACAAAGAGGTTGGAAAAGAAAACGAATCCTTTGTCGCGTCCGTAGGAAAATGAGCAGAAATAATGTTTCAACAATTCTTGGTAGAGATCCAAGCAGGAATCTGTGTATTAGGCCGACCTTCCAATGATTATTGCAGAAACAAAAACAAGTATGGCACGCTTACATTCTGATTAGGTTGTGCGTCGCACAGAGACAAGTAGAATAGCAGCCTCTATCAGACGCCCACACAATCTACATACATTTTCATACGTCCAATACAAACCTACTTATGGACAGCAAAATACTGACCATTGGATCTAGATTTTGCTTTGGTAGGATGCTGAAGATATAACTGGAAATAAGGTGATCAGCTCATCAACTCGTTCCATTGTCAGGATGCACCTCACAAGGTTTTCATGCCCATCTGTGTTACTGGTTTCTACTTGTACATGATTCGTTATCATGTCATGAATTATTACTACTGTCAAACTATATCGTTATTAGTCGAAGTATTCTGGATGGATGTTCCAAAAACGTTTTTTTCTCCATAGTTACATTCTCAATATTCAGATTGAATATTGCCTTTGTAATAATATCGGACTGACAAGCTACAAAATCACTTACACGATATAGATTGATCAAAAGAGAAAAAAAGTTCGTTTACCGGTCGGTAAGTATGACATACTTTTAAGTGATGATATTTTGCCTCTGCGAAAACAATTTGTCACGTGCTTTTTCCTGGTTAAGAGTAATGCTTCACACGAAAGGCCATTACAAAAAGAGTAATGTTTTGCTATATGACGGAGAAATCCTCTTTTGTGATAAGTCAAGAGGTCACGACAATTTTTTTTGTTTGTGAATTCATGAATGAGAGTTTATTATTGCGAATTGATGATTGAATACAGTAAAAAGGAATCTCTATGAAGCAAATTGCAAATCGCAAATGGTTAGTCTAAACTGGGAATGAACATATTTTTATGCTGGCCTCTGGTAATATCCCCTTTGTTAGGTCAAACCTCATTAATCTTAACAAGGTCAATACTTTTGTAGTTAAATATTTTCTGCTTGAGGCCGAACACTTGTGAGATGTTCAGTGAAGCATGACTGATCCGATATCGTGATAAAGAATTCGGATACATGTCGGACTAATATGACTCCCTTATATGGATTTAATTAAGACTAGGTCAACGTGACTTTAAGATAAACCCATCCAATTGGGCACCGTCTTTTGATGATCTGTGCGGATCGATAGAACTCAAGTCAAAAACAAACGATGAGTTTGATCGGAAAAGGTACATTTAAAAAGAAATAGTAAATGAATTTTAAGATAATATTTTTATCGGCATTCATGTAGATAGTTGTTAAACATGTTATTACAGCCAGCACAATACGTACATCAATAGCAGTACGCTTCACGCAGGTCATTTGTCTGATCAAGGCAGTCGTGTTGCCATTGAAACGTCATAAAAAGAATAAAAAAAAATAATAAGAAGAATTTCTCTCATATTGACAATAACGACTTGGAGGAAGTGTTCTGAAATATGGAAAACATGTTCATCGTTGCATCACAGTTAGATAAACTCCTTAGTTGTGAGTTGGTGTAATACTGCATTTGTTCAATTTATACGGCTGCGTTTATCAAACGAGTATGAAACGAAATGTTTGCTTAGTTAATTATGTAATGGTGTTTATGCTTGTTGCCCCGTTTCAAGAGGTTTTGTTTCCGGTTCAGTGATGCAGGGAGGGTTCGCCATGTTGGAAGCCGGCTGTGTAAGAAGCAAGAACGCTACCAATATACTCATCAAGAATCTGCTCGACTCTTGTAAGTACTTCATCAAGACGCTTGTAAGTAATCCGTAGTACCGCGAACTTCATTTCTCTTTTGAAAGCAATTTTACAATAAATCAGAAACTTTAACATTCACATATTCGTCAGAGACCATCAACCGGTCATTTAAGTATCAAATAAAACCTTCATCTGACAGGGTTTGTTTATTGTCACTATACTTATTTTAGCACCAATGGACATTAGCGAATCATCATCTTTCAACAAATTAGTGTAATTATGGATTTGAGCATGCGAAACATGACAAAGAGAAATTAAATAAACGCAATTCAATAACTTCAGTTAGCGAGATCATATGTCAACACAAATGTTAAGAAAGCGCTGAAATCCACATACATTAGTCTCGGTTATCTATATGTGGCTATATTGTACGATACTGAACCTGGAAATGATGTTGATATGTTCATTTTTTTCAGTCATAGCAGGTTTCGCTTATTGGTTGGTTGGTTACGCCTTTGCTCTCGGAGAGGGAAACACCTTTATAGGACACACCTACTTCGCACACCACGATTTAAAGCCAGAGTCTTACTCCCTTTGGTTCTTCCATTACGTCTTTGCCGCGACTGCAGCGACAATCGTTTCTGGTGCCGTGGCTGAGAGATGTGACTTCATCGCCTATCTCATCTACAGCTCTATTATAACAGGTAAAAGTTAACATACGTTATAAGAACTATGATAATAGCGATGGTATTATCGTCAGGAGTCAGGCTTACTTGGGAACAACTTTACAGAGATCTTCAATAACGATCAGTATATCACTACACCATTCAACCTTTTTGGAAGATTTAATATTCAGAATAGACGGCATTCAAGTTCACCGTAAGTCATTGTGAAATCCTGTAACCATTCCTCGTTTGTCCACGTCTGTCATCATTTCATTTTCTTGTGAACACAACATGAGTTAGTATGAAGGCATTCCTTCCATACGATATCAGATGAGTTCGACAATGTCAAGGCTTTGATTGTAAATAGTGTAATTGTGTAGATGTAGTGTTTTTAAATGTAGAACAAACAACAGGAAAATGCCAACATGACAACATAACTTTAATTTAAACTCAAATCCAATAAAACGTGGGCAAAATATGAACAAAAGAAATATTTTTATGGAGACTCCTGGAAAAGTACAAGGAGAATAAGACCAGATGGTCCGGAAGGGTAAGCGTTTTCTTCATCGACGAAGTCCACCATGTAAACTTCGGTTAATCCAATAAGTAATGTCACGTTCTCAAATGACAACAAGGTTACAACAATGAATTAAACATGCAAACTAACGAGCATCAAACACTTCCAGTTTAATATCGCACAAAGACACACTATGACGACCGTGAAACTTCCCTTCTTCTTCCGCCTGCAACTTTTGAAACCCTGTTTTACGACTTTGTCCGTCAGACAAAACATATTGCTTCTTCGATTAGGATGGGGTTTGTTTTACGCTTCAGTATAATATAATAATAATAATATAATGTAGATATTTCACAAAAATAATGTTTTTATGTACATGTTAAATGAAACTATCCGTTACCTAAAATAAACTAGCTATAACTTCTCGTTTTGATAACGTGATGATGTATAAAGCTAGGTTAGAATATCAAGTGATTCAAAGACAACAGTCGCCTAAAGCTGTAATTATGTTCAGTCTTTTACTCAACGATTAAGATATGTGTATTTACGAAAAGACTTCACGCGTCCAGGTTTTGTCTATCCTGTATTGGTTCATTGGGCCTGGACACCAGAGGGTTGGCTCGCTCAGGGCTTCACGTACGACCATAATGGAGAAACACTGACCATATTCTACAGGGTTAGTATAAACAAGTGTATGAACTAACACAGACGAATAAAACCTTTCATTGAAAAAGCATAATTCGATACAGCTTAATCAAAATGAATTAAGCATGGTCAACTTTCCGTTACTCGTAAACAGTTACTATCAACATTTGTACATACATAATATAATTACTGATTGATGTGGTGTAACGGTATATCTTATAGTATAACAATGCTAAAATTGTGTCGTCAGCTTGTACGCTTAAATCTATTTAAGACAATTCTTGTGAATCCAAACGTTTCTCAAACCGGTAAATCAATTATAATTAGCGAGAGCAGAACCAGTTGATATTGTTTTCAATATGAATCATATTTCTTGTTTTGAGTAATGGATATGTGTGTCATAAAAACGTGTCTCATGGAAAAAATTAAAACGTCCTTCCTCTGTGTAAAGTTTAAAAATATGGTTTTGTTGACATGTTTGCAGCATTCTGTGGTTGTTTTTTCTTCGCTCTTCTCCAGGACTTCTCTGGCAGTGGTATAGTTCACATGTTAGCCGGCCTCTCAGCATTTATCGGAGCTAAGGCACTTGGTCCAAGAATAGGACGGTATGATGACGTCACTGGTGAACCACGTGATATAAAAGGACATTCAATCCTGGTATGAGATATGCTCGTCCGCTGAAAGACCGAAAGGTCAAAATAGTGGACGTAAAACATGTTAAAATAAAATGATATGAGAATTTCATTGATTTTTCTCGCCGTACTTTTGTTCGGAATGTTGGCAGATCTATCCATTCATTACTCGTATATCAAACTGCTATATGAAATACCTGTGAAATTTGTTAACTTCCTGGTCCTGGAATATAGTTTAAAAATACTCTCACAATCGTCAGCTACATTCTCACTGATGACAATTCTGACAAGATTTGGTAGGTTTGTCTGAACTTCTTGATAACTTCAAAATTTGGTCTTAGTTTTCTTTCTAGGATAATAAATCAAACTCTGTTTAGAATTGTCTGCCCTTGGTGATAATTCCAACTCTGTTCTTACAGTTGGCTGCCCTTGGTGGATTTATCCTGTTGTTTGGGTTCCTCGCCTTTAATGTCTCGGCCGCGGGATCACTGTCCGGAGAAGGTCAAGGAGAACTTATCTCAAAGATTGTGGTCAACACCATCATGTCCGGCTCTGCTGGGGGTCTTGTCGCCATGGTGATTCAATATATCAAAGGAGACTCCAAGTGGAATTTTAGTACAACACTAAACGGATCACTATGCGCTATGGTGAGTGTTCCTTGGTCTGTTTACTGTTGTTTTCTGTATTTAGTTGCTTTGATGAAAAATAATTTTGAATAATAAACATGTACTCATAATTATTTTTCCGCAAAAACTAAGAGTTCCATAACTGATACTACTCTATTCTATTTACATATGTAAACTAATGTTCTCATACCTGTAAGATCCAACTGCATCTCGAATTTAGTTATAAATTTAATTATAGGCATGTTAGCTACTAGTATGCCACGTTTAATTCATTAGAACAGTGGTACGGTCCAGAATATTTGATGTTCTTATGAAATTATGAGACATATGAATTTAACGAACGTTTTAAATTACAAAGTTTAGCGAACACCTACCTCTAGATTTTATCATTGTTTTCGACCATTTATTATTTTGTTGAAATGTGTTACCTTATCATAAAGCGCAAAGCAAAGCAACATTTCCGGGATGAATTGAGATTAGCCTGTTTAATAGTAGTATAATAGGAGAAGACGGGGACTGGAAACTTTCCAAAGCATTTGTTTCCTTATTGATCCAAAAAGTGCATTGAGATGTCTGATGTTTCCTCAGACGCCGCCAAGTTTAGAAAAAATGGCTGACATTTCCAAGAAAGTAGCACTTGTATAATGCAGTTTAATGCATTATTTGGCTCCGCTGTATGTTATTGTAAAATTTTGTACAAAAGTGTTTATCTTCTGTCTTTTGTCTTTTGTACAATCCACATAAAGACATGTTTATCGTATCACTATTTGAGCCCTGGATATCAAATGATAGGAATTATATATATTCACTCCCAAATGAACAGCCAGGTGGAAACTTTGTTTGGACATGGCGTGTTTGTCTTTATGCACGTTCTAAAGAATATTTCACTCAGACTTAATCGTAGATAACAAAAAAAAACAAAATCAGAACACGTAAATTATCCCGAAATCTGAGATTGAACTAAGCCACTGTAACCCGCTCTGGGATAGGTCCATCATGATATGGTGTAATAACGTTTGATTGGTTATTTGCTGATGTAACCTGTCATGTGATTGCGTCAATGTTGATGTAAACTGCTATGCTATTGGTTCAAAATGTTAATTAATCTGTGGTTATGTGATCTGTCCGTTTGTTAATGTTTATGTTATTTTCTCACCTGATTGGTTTATTATTTTCTTATATTCGATGTTTGAATATTTATAGAATACAGCGTTATTGATGTACAATTGATCGATAGTTGGTTTATTGTTGTCTGCTTTCAAATATTCTGTAACTGGTCGATAACTATAGAAGTTGTATGTGATTGTTTTTTTACAGTGCGCTATTTGTGGTTGCGTGGACAGTGTACCTACATACATAGGTAAGGCTTTAAGTAGAGTTACAATGGCAATATGTAATACGTATATATGTAATAATCTTATATGATAATTTCGACATTATCTTCCGACGTACTATCTTTTAACCTCGTTGGTATATTTCATATAGAGACATTGTCAACTGTCAATGACTGACATGTAACTGCTTGAAATCCTAGTCATTAATATGTAAAATTTATATCATCTGCGGCGTCACAATAATGACATCATATTACCATCTTGTTATATAGAAAGTAACAAAACAATCCTATAAATACACTCTAAACTAGTAATGATTTAATCGGGGGGGGGGGTATACACACTGAATGAATATTGATTTATAGGGGATCATAGACTCTAATCTGATAATTATTTAATAGGGAGTCATACACTCTAAACTAATATTAATTTAATTGGAAGAAGGGGGTCATACTCTCTAAATAAGTATTGATTAATAGCAGGTCATACAGTTTGAATAAGTATTTTTTTTAATTGGGAGACATCCACTCTGAACTAGTATTGATGTTTCAGGGGCTCATTCACTCGAAACTTATTTTGATTATTAGTGTATATGTAGGGAGGGGGAGTCATACACTCTTAAAGTAAGAGGTATAATATGTCAGTGGATGTCGAGGTTATCGTTTTCTCTCCGTGTCAAACGGGACATTAGAGATGAGGGGGGGCGTGTGTAAGTTCTTTTTCCATAATGTCTTAAGAATCTACGCACATAGCTTTACATAGTGTCGCTGTGTTACCTATGTATATTGGCAGAAATAATGGACGATTTTGTTATTTTTTACGACTGTATGTAATAAAGCCATGAATACGATATAGGCAATCTGTCTCCGTCGCAAGAAAGAAACTATATTTAAGGAAAGGTATTTGTGTACAAATATGATAACGCGTAAAACACGTAGATGAAAGATTCTCCGTGATTATTAATTATACATCAAGTTCTAGTGAAACTGGTCTGTATTCAGAGATCTGAAGTATATAAGAATGTAGTGATGATTTTGTTCACAGCTGTGATTATAGGAGCAGTAGGTGGGGTGACATATATCTTTGTCAGCTGGTTCGTCCTCTACAAGTGTCGAGTCGATGACCCATTGGACGCTGTAGCAGGTAATGACGCTCTCAATACTTAAGGTAAGCGATGTGTCTCGTAACTTTATCTCACCTACACTAGCTTAGAGCTATGCCCTTTAACTTTATCTCGGCTTGGTGATAAACATGGCTTGGTGATGTGTCGCGTAAACATACACTAGCTTAGAGCTATGTCCTTTAACTTTATCTCAGCTTGGTGATAAACATGGACAGGTAGGTTTACTTAAGGTAAGCGATGTGTCGCGTAACTTCATCTCACCTACACTAGCTTAGAGCTATGTCCTTTAACTTTATCTCAGCTTGGTGATAAACATGGGCGGGTAGGTCTACTTAAGGTAAGCGATGTGTCTCGTAACTTTATCTCACCTACACTAGCTTAGAGCTATGTCCTTTAACTTTATCTCAGCTTGGTGATAAACATGGGCGGGTAGGTCTACTTAAGGTAAGCGATGTGTCTCGTAACTTTATCTCACCGGGACTCTGGCTTAATGCTATGTCCTTTAACTTTATCTTACCTTGACTCTAGTTTAGCTTTGTATCTGGTAACTTTATCTCAGCTGGACACTAGCTTAGCCTCCTCTCAATTTGGCAATGTAACAACGACAAGCTTGTTTCCCTAAGGTTACCGTTGTGTCTGGCACGTTTAATACATATACTGCAGATTGTGACAAGGGTTAATAGGTTTATACCAGGTAAGTGTTTGGTGAGTTGATGTTTATATCATACAATCACAGATATATGCTTCGGGTAAAACAAGAATTTCACACGTCAGGTCAACCGCTGTCAGTAGATTGAAGTCGTTCTTAAATTTGCGCAGTTTTTACTCTTCATGTACCCATTAGTGATGCTAAAAGCCTGAACTAGTTTGAAATCTGGAGGTGACAAAGGAAAATCCCCAAAATTGTCGATCAAAACACGATCTCATTCTTACAACACCTGTTGAGCATGGATAAATATAGATTTATTGGTGATATTACCTATCATTGAAGACACTTACATTTTAAATACCGATTTATTTTTCAGTTTTAGACTGGGTATTTTTGAAATCATGACTATCGAAATTTTATTTCTAGTTCCGAAACTATAATGATGTCTTTGTTTAACTAAATTTTAGGAAAACCTTCTATGACCGTTCCTGGTAATGGGACGTTGTATACGACAAGAAACGGGTCCTTTAAGACGTCATTCTTTATATATGTTCTGATGTAAATGATTTAGTAACCAATACGTTGGGTAGTTTTCTTGTCAGTCGACTGTCCAGTTCAGTAGCTTTGATGTAGTTTTTTTTCTATTCAGTTCATTTCGGAGGTGGTTTTGCAGGAGTTGTGTGTGTGACACTTTTTCAGGAGAAGGTCGGGATTATTCTCCACTGGAATATTGAGTCTGGTTTGGTAAGTGTCGCGTTCAACACAAAACAATGTTTGTATTTTAACAGCTACATCTGAATTGTATATGGTCAAATGCTTTCAAATCCAGGGTGTATACTACGGAAACTCGACTTCATCATCCACTGCTCTGTTTGCGCCATCTGCCGGTAAGCCCCAAGCCGACCCGACAAGAGGATGTGTGACCAAGATTTATATGACGGGTGTCGTAGATGAAGTAGAAGATGCTTATTTTTGGGAACACCTGGGCCCGTATTCATGACACCATTCTCATGCTCAAGCATAGATTTTGTGCTCAAGCAGACTTTTTTTTATCATTCTCCTAAATCATATAAAATAATACAAATGTCAAATATAAACATTGAATATAGCCTTGACTTGAAGTCCTTTCAAAATTGTTTTAAATCTTAGGCAAAATCAGCCTTATTTATTAATTTTTAACTTAAACAAGACATAAGGCTTCAGCATAAAATTCATGCTTGAGCATGAGAACGGTTTCATGAATACGGGCCCCGGTCTTATTCTTCTTGTACAGTTTTCAAGATTATCCGTTTAATATTCTGTTTTTTTTCCACATTTTGCCTTAGTTTTATTTAATTTGAGTTTATGCTATGATTCATATGTTAGTAGTTTCTTGTCCTGTTGATGCAAGTTTGTCTCAAACGAGAAAGGATCATTTGTTGTAGACTTTGTAAATTTAACATTTGTTTTGTCGCGCTGAACTTTTCCATATGGATTACTAAGCTTTCATTGTGTTATCTGAAAAAGAGTTCAGCATAAGCCAGGACATGACGACATAATTAAATGAAAATAACCATATTTACTTAAAGCTTAATCATTTTATGAAATCTAGCTGGGTGGATTAGTCATATATACAATTTATTCAATTTCGTGTAAATCAGTCTCTCGTAAACTGACAACACTTTTGAGCTATTCTAATCACGTGACTTATGCCACATTCTAACCAGTGTTGTAATTTTTACAGTCTCTAGCTTGGCAGTGTGTGGGGATTCTGGCTGTAGTGACATGGACTGGGGTTGTTTGTGGTGTCATGTTCTACAGTATGAAGGCCATGAAGATACTACGTGTCCCGTTAGAATTCGAAGTGAAGGGTAAAACATCAGGATATATATATATATACATATGAATATTTTAAAGATTTTATTTAGTATAATCTATTGAAACAAAAAGCAAAAAACAACGAAACTTTTAAAAATATGAGAGTTTGATCACAGACAACTATAATTCAAACAACAAATCTACATTATTATTTAAACGGTATCTGTCTCCTGCCCCGCATGACGTAACCATGGAAGCTATATAGTAAATCGTCAACATTGCTAGTGCACAACCTGTTCTTGCCTGCATGGCAATGTCATTTATATCATATATAAATACCAAATGAAGACAGATCCAATCAAAACATATTTTTTTATTAGTTCATATTATCCTCAACTGTTGATCGGATCTAAGTAGCTTTATTCGTTTGATATGCATGTCTTTGTCGACAAGGTATTGACATACCAAAACACGGACAGAGTGCCTATCCGGCGGAGGCGTACGGTGATAGCTGGGGATTGGAAACAATAGACGATGTTCAGGAACCTCCACAGAAAGAACATCCTGGTAATCAAATATGTAATTAGAAATATGTAGAGGAGTTACCTCCCTTCTATCGACATTAGATTATCAGCATACAGATAGTTCTCATTAAGAAGTTGTACTATCTATCCCCGTTTAGGATAATTCAAACTCACTCAGGTCGGTCCTGTTGGGTAGTGTGATTAAAGATCAATAAACCAGTTCCGGTCAACATCCGCCTGGCTTCAAACATTCTTCTATCAATTTGATCATTTTTTTTTTCAAATCTAAACAGAACATTTTAATAGAGAATTCTAGTATAGTACGTTGCTGCACATAGATGTTAGATACGTTTACTGATAAATAGTATGTTCACATATATATATATTTGCCATCGCATAGCATTGCTACGATGTTACCTTACCAATGTCAGCTGTGTATTACCAGCTAATGAATTGCCAACAACCTAGGAATATTTCAAGTAATTCGGCAAATTGAGATTGTCTCCCCTTATGATAGAATGAGAATTGAAAACGGTAAATATAAGGATTGAACTAATTAGATGCAAATTCAACATCAACAGATTACATGCTTCAATGAAGTTGCTCCTATAGTGTTGGCATTCACATGTCCATGAACGCCAAATGAGAGCCATTGAATACTTCATCAAATCCTCTTTAAAATCCTTCATATCTCTAACACAAACCTCGATTCAATCAAGCAATTATTCTATTCAAGGAGTCGTTACATTTTTACATATACACTTCATTTTCTTAGTTAACAATGCTTGTGTCTTCACATGACTTAAATCTCAGTATGTACGTTTTTCAATTATTTTTCTTAATGAAAGTTTTGTATATTGTACTCTTAAACAGTATTTAACAATTTACGATTTTAATCTATTGTGTTTTCACACCAACGCGGTTTTCACAAATTTGTTGCTATCTACATTTTGGCAGACCAAAAATTCCGAAAGGAGCAATTTTTGTTTGGTTCATATTAACATATTTTTTTTTCTTTTTTATCCAAACAGACACAAGAAACAGAAAAACAAATGAAAACAACATGGATGTCTCGAATGGATCCTTTGTATCTGATGTCACCGCAACGACACATATATGACGTCACAATTATCTGTCATTATTTCCGTGCTTATCTCATGTAAATATTTATCATTAAATTCCTATACCTGTTTAAATATTTGTGTTGTTATATAGATACACAGTTTACATTGTCTATAAATAGAAACACTTCTATTTTAAGTAAAGAGAGCAGTTTTACATTTTTAATTGTTTGATTGTAGAAACTCAGTCTGGTTGACCTTTACTCTTAGTACTTCCGGTCAATCGATGTCGTAATGATGTGTCGTTACTAAGACATTGCTGCGAGGTGTTCTAGAAGGACAAAACTGCTGAATAATACTGTATCAATAATCAATGGCTTTTGATATGTAATTCTATATTTGTATTGAATGATGCCTTTGTGTGTTTGCAACAGAAACACTGAATTAGTGCTAGACAGAGAATGAACTTCATCGATTCATACATCTGTTTTGTCCTTCTAGGACTCGTCAAAGTGATTGGAACTTATTAAAATCAAAATCAAAAGTGTACCAGACTCGCATAACTGATAACTGAGTTACAAAGAAACCTTCATCCTGCACCAGATATATTTCCGAAACACTCTTCCGTAGTATAGTGGGCACAAATGTACCTTATCAATGGACACAATTACGTCAGTACTGTCTTTTTCTCTGATTACAAAGAATCAAAGACCAACACAGGAAGGGAGCGTCGAACCGACTGCCTCAGATATTTTACCGCAGAACATGTATACCAACTCCCGACAGAACAATCTTACCACACGACATGTATACCAACTCCCGACAGAACAATCTCACCACACGACATGTATACCAACTCCCGATAGAACAATCTTACCACACGACATGTATACCAACTCCCGACAGAATAATCTTACCACACGACATGTCTACCAATTCTCGATAGAACAATCTTACCACACGACATGTCTACCAACTCCCGACAGAACAATCTTACCACACGACATGTATACCAACTCCCGACAGAACAATCTTACCACACGACATGTATACCAACTCCCTGCAGAACAATTTAACCACACAACATGTATACCAACTCCCGACAGAACAATCTTACCACACGACATGTATACCAACTCCCTACAGAACAATTTAACCACACAACATGTATACCGACTCCCGACAGAACAATCTTACCACACGACATGTATACCAACTACCGACAGAACAATCTTACCACACGACATGTATACCAATTCCCGACAGACAATCTTACCACACGACATGTATACCAACTCCCTGCAGAACAATTTAACCACACAACATGTATACCAACTCCCGACAGAACAATTTAACCACACTATATGTACACCGACTCCCGACAGAACAATCTTACCGCACGACATGTATACCAACTACCGACGGAACAATCTTACCACACGACATGTATACCAACTCCCGACAGACAATCTTACCACACGACATGTATACCAACTCCCGATAGAACAATCTTACCACACGACAAGTATATCAACTCCCGACAGAAAAATCTTACTACACGATATGTACACCAACTCCCGACAGACAATCTTACCACACGACATGTATACCAACTACCGACAGAACAATTTAACCACACGATATGTACACCGACTCCCGACAGAACAATCTTACCGCACGATATGTACACCGACTCCCGACAGAACAATCTCACCACACGACATGTATACCAACTCCCGATAGAACAATCTTACCACACGACATGTATACCAATTCCCGATAGAACAATCTTACCACACGACATGTATACCAACTCCCGACAGACAATCTTACCACACGACATGTATACCAACTCCCGATAGAACAATCTTACCACACGACAAGTATATCAACTCCCGACAGAAAAATCTTACTACACGACATGTAAACCAACTCCCGACAGACAATCTTACCACACGACATGTATACCAACTACCGACAGAACAATTTAACCACACGATATGTACACCGACTCCCGACAGAACAATCTAACCACACGATATGTACACCGACTCCCGACAGAACAATCTACATGAACCCATCAGTTGAATTACGTACTTTTTCTATAGGTAAATACATCAATAACGTCGTCAAAACGAACACGTCAGTCAAATGGTGTACCTGTAACATATCATGCAGAACAGAGTAGACAATTAGGGCCAGGCGCGACAATTCTGTGAGTGACGTCACACCACGCCGTGATAATCATGAAGATATGGGGCCGTAGGTTTACGGAGTTGTTAATGAGAGAGTCGCTATCATGGCGGAACTTCCAAAGCAGCCCCGCCCCATATTCATTTGTATTCATCACCTGAGCAACACAAACGGTCCCAGCAGGAACCAAGAAATATACACCAGCGTGTGTGTGTGTTCTCGTTTTTTTTTTTTTTTTTTGTCGGAGGGGAGTTGAATTTTTCTTCATTTATTCCTATCTTTTTTTGTTTTCTTCATGGTGTTGAATGTATTGAATGCTTTAATGCAGATACAGATTAAATACCATAGTTTTAATAATGAAGCCGAGTGTGTTCGTTTTTTATTATTATTGTTATCATTCAAGTAAGTCTCACACGATACTGATACAAACAAACTTAGTGTCTCACACGATACCGACACAAACAACCTTAGTGTCTCACACGATACCGACACAAACAACCTTAGTGTCTCACACGAGACCGACACAAACAACCTTAGTGTCTCACACGAGACCGACACAAACAACCTTAGTGTCTCACACGACACTGACACAAACAACCTTAGTGTCTCACACGACACTGACACAAACAACCTTAGTGTCTCACATCATACTGACACAAACAACCTTAGTGTCTCACACGACACCGACACAAACAACCTTAGTGTCTCACACGACACTGTCACAAACAACCTTAGTGTCTCACACGACAATGTCACAAACAACCTTAGTGTCTCACATCATACTGACACAAACAACCTTATTGTCTCACACGATACCGACACAAACAACCTTATTGTCTCACACCATACTGACACAAACAACCTTAGTGTTTCACACGACACTGTCACAAACAACCTTAGTGTCTCACACCATACTGTCACAAACAAGCTTAGTGTCTCACATCATACTGACACAAACAACCTTATTGTCTCACACGATACCGACACAAACAACCTTATTGTCTCACACGATACCGACACAAACAACCTTATTGTCTCACACGATACCGACACAAACAACCTTAGTGTTTCACACGAAACTGACACTTACAAACAACCTTAGTGCTTCATCATTTTTATCTGTACTTATATAGTAGTATGCAGGACTCGTTTGAGGATATATACACAAGTACCAACACTTCCCTGTAACACTTTGTGGTGACCAGCCGACATGGAGACGGTAAGTACATCTTGTAACTGTAACGTAATAGGTTTTTATGTTCATGCATGTACGCAAAACTGCATGTGTTAAGTCAGTTGATCTGGAAAATGAAAACGTTATAGGTCATTTCTTATTTTTTATTTGTATCTGTTTCTTATTTTGTAAGTTTAAGTGAATTAATCCAAGCTTAAAGAAATATGTATATATATATATATATAAATCAGCATTTCACTCGACGGATCCCTAAGATGTCATATGAAATGGATTCACATTCGAGCTTAAAAACTATAGAAAACAATAAATCATCCACATGCACTTTAATGTATCAGCCTCCCTACATAGATGCCCGGGTCATTATTCGCTGACTACTGTAAATCCCATACACAATCCGTATAAATACCAGCTGCTAAATCTACATTGTTTCAGTCTCCGGCCTTGTCGTCCGTATAAAAGGTAGTTGAACTAATCATGTCGCGGTTAACAGCCTGCGGTCATCCAGCCCTCTGGTCTGTTGTGATTTACATACATCTTTCACTTGAGAATATCATTTCCCGTTAGTGGCGAATTATGTCAAAAACAGACATCACAACGTCGTCAGAACTGTGACGTTCATCGTTGAAACGTTACCTAGCAACGGGAAAAGTCGCGGAGACGGAAAATCTGTAACCAAGCAACCAATTTGAATATTATGATTTAATTCCTCAAGTGGCTCTATTGTATTTAGTTCTAAGTGTGCAGTAAGTTTGCGAACTTGTCTGTCTTTTGGAAAGTCTTCATTACATTACTGGTGGATATTTAATCATGTTAAAAATAATTAATTAAATAAGTCTTCAATTTTGCTTTTCACCACAAACATTTAGAAGTAACATTTAAGTAAAATGCGGTGACCATGTTAACGAAATGGATAGCGTTGTAAGAGAAAAATAAAAGTTTGAGGAAAACGTAAATATTTATCTAGTCGTGATGTTCTTTCAGGATTTGGTGTGGCCTCCATCTTACCGGTTCTTGTATAATCACGTGAGTTATCAGATGGGTGTTAAATACGTTAAGAGAAGATGTCTATAATATCATAGTTTTTCCATCATATATCCGTATTGATGATTTATGGTGTGAATCAGGCAAAGAAACTCATTCTAACTACCGAAAACAAAGAAAGTTCAGCTGTCTGATAGGATGCTTAGCAAATGACTTCTTAAACTAAGTACCTGGAATTCTTGTTGCTGATAAGTTGCAATAAGCTGTGCAGCAACATTTATTCTAAGTTTGTGTGCATCTCCCTCTGTTCTAAGTTTGTGTACATCTCCCTCTGTTCTAAGTTTGTGTACATCTCCCTCTGTTCTAAGTTTGTGTACATCTCCCTCTGTTCTAAGTTTGTGTACATCTACCTCTGTTCTAAGTTTGTGTACATCTCCTTCTGTTCTAAGTTTGTGTACATCTCCCTCTGTTCTAAGTTTGTGTACATCTCCTCCTGTTCTAAGTTTGTGTACATCTCCCTCTGTTCTAAGTTTGTATACATCTCCCTCTGTTCTAAGTTTGTGTACATCTACCTCTGTCCAAAGTTTGTGTACATCTCCCTCTGTTCTAAGTTTGTGTACATCTCCTCCTGTTCTAAGTTTGTGTACATCCCCCTCTGTTCTAAGTCTGTGTACATCTCCCTCTGTTCTAAGTTTGTGTACATCTCCCTCTGTTCTAAGTTTGTGTACATCTCCCTCTGTTCTAAGTTTGTGTACATCTACCTCTGTTCTAAGTTTGTGTACATCTCCTGTTCTAAGTTTGTGTACATCTCCCTCTGTTCTAAGTTTGTGTACATCTCCCTCTGTTCTAAGTTTGTGTACATCTCCCTCTGTTCTAAGTTTGTGTACATCTACCTCTGTTCTAGGTTTGTGTACATCTCCCTCTGTTCTAAGTTTGTGTACATCTCCCTCTGTTCTAAGTTTGTGTACATCTCCCTCTGTTCTAAGTTTGTGTACATCTCCCTCTGTTCTAAGTTTGTGTACATCTCCCTCTGTTCTAAGTTTGTGTACATCTACCTCTGTTCTAAGTTTGTGTACATCTCCTCCTGTTCTAAGTTTGTGTACATCTCCCTCTGTTCTAAGTTTGTGTACATCTTCCTCTGTTCTAAGTTTGTGTACATCTACCTCTGTCCAAAGTTTGTGTACATCTCCCTCTGTTCTAAGTTTGTGTACATCTCCTCCTGTTCTAAGTTTGTGTACATCCCCCTCTGTTCTAAGTTTGTGTACATCTCCCTCTGTTCTACGTTTGTGTACATCTCTCTCTGTTCTAAGTTTGTGTACATATCTTCCTGTTCTAAGTTTGTGTACATCTCCCTCTGTTCTAAGTTTGTGTACATCTCTCTCTGTTCTAAGTTTGTGTACATCTCTCTCTGTTCTAAGTTTGTGTACATCTCACCCTGTTCTAAGTTTGTGTACATCTCCCTCTGTTCTAAGTTTGTGTACATCTCCCTCTGTTCTACGTTTGTGTACATCTCTCTCTGTTCTAAGTTTGTGTACATATCTTCCTGTTCTAAGTTTGTGTACATCTCCTCCTGTTCTAAGTATGTGTACATCTCCCTCTGTTCTAAGTTTGTGTACATCTCCCTCTGTTATAAGTTTGTGTACATCTCTCTCTGTTCTAAGTTTGTGTACATCTCCCTCTGTTCTAAGTTTGTGTACATCTCATCCTGTTCTAAGTTTGTTTTCATTTCCCTCTGTTCTAAGTTTGTGTACATCTCCCTCTGTTCTAAGTTTGTGTACATCTCCCTCTGTTCTAAGTTTGTGTACATCTCCCTCTGTTCTGAGTTTGTGTACATCTCCCTCTGTTCTAAGTTTGTGTACATCTCCCTCTGTTCTAAGTTTGTGTACATCTCCTCCTGTACTAAGTTTGTGTACATTTCCCTCTGTTCTAAGTTTGTGTACATCTCCTCCTGTTCTAAGTTTGTGTACATCTCCTCCTGTTCTAAGTTTGTGTACATTTCCCTCTGTTCTAAGTTTGTTTACATCTCCTCCTGTTCTAAGTTTGTGTACATCTCCCTCTGTTCTAAGTTTGTGTACATCTCCCTCTGTTCTAAGTATGTGTACATCTCCCTCTGTTCTAAGTTTGTGTACATCTCCACCTGTTCTAAGTTTGTGTACATCTCTCTCTGTTCTAAGTTTGTGTACATCTCCCTCTGTTCTAAGTTTGTGTACATCTCCCTCTGTTCTAGGTTTGTGTACATATCCATCTGTTCTAAGTTTGTGTACATCTCCCTCTGTTCTAAGTTTGTGTACATAAAGTTTGTCAAAAAATATGTTTAAATAGGAGACTTTTGTTGACGGAAGTGAGATAGCTTATGAATTATAATATAGTTCAAGTGTCTGTGTCGGGGGAAGACTGCGCAATCGCACACTTGATATCAAACAGTGATCGTAAGTCCTTCATAAACCTGGCACCGTTAGGTGGTGTTAGGTTTAAAAGCCTGCGAACATAACATAAAAGTATTCCCCATCCGTATACCAGGCAAACCAACCGATTTACCCGTCATGCCTACGCACCGGTAATAATATTTGAACGACTCAAGCAAGACTTAAAAAGCTATGCAGATTACCGTCAGATTTGGCCTGCCTATATTGACAGTTTTTTTTTTCCATTCAGAACAGATATATATGGTCAGTGTTATATATAATGATATCAATTAATGTTTAATGTTGTTATTTGTTTCGGTGGAAGTGGCTGAGTTATTCTGAGGGAACGGGTGGGGTGTGTTATATCTGTACACATGTCTCCTCATGGGGTGTGTTATATCTGTACACATGTCTCCTCATGGGGTGTGTTATATCTGTACACATGTCTCCTCATGGGGTGTGTTATATCTGTACACATGTCTCCTCATGGGGTGTGTTATATCTGTACACATGTCTCCTCATGGGGTGTGTTATATCTGTACACATGTCTCCTCATGGGGTGTGTTATATCTGTACACATGTCTCCTCATGGGGTGTGTTATATCTGTACACATGTCTCCTCATGGGGTGTGTTATATCTGTACACATGTCTCCTCATGGGGTGTGTTATATCTGTACACATGTCTCCTCATGGGGTGTGTTATATCTGTACACATGTCTCCTCATGGGGTGTGTTAAATCTGTACACATGTCTCCTCATGGGGTGTGTTATATCTGTACACATGTCTCCTCATGGTCAGTAGATGTACACACACGTGTGTCTTACATGTTGTGTTATATATATACATATGTCTCCTCATGGTCAGTAGATGTACACACACGTGTGTCTTACATGTTGTGTTATATATATAGATATGTCTCCTCATGGTCAGTAGATGTACACACACGTGTGTCTTACATGTTGTGTTATATATATAGATATGTCTCCTCATGGTCAGTAGATGTACACACACGTGTGTCTATAATGCTGCTATATATATATATACATGTGTCTCCTCGTGGTCAGTAGATGTACACACACGTGTGTCTTACATGTTGTGTTATATATATACATATGTCTCCTCATGGTCAGTAGATGTACACACACGTGTGTCTTACATGTTGTGTTATATATATAGATATGTCTCCTCATGGTCAGTAGATGTACACACACGTGTGTCTATAATGCTGCTATATATATATATAGATATGTCTCCTCATGGTCAGTAGATGTACACACACGTGTGTCTATAATGCTGCTATATATATATATATATAGATATGTCTCCTCATGGTCAGTAGATGTACACACACGTGTGTCTATAATGCTGCTATATATATATATACATGTGTCTCCTCGTGGTCAGTAGATGTACACACACGTGTGTCTATAATGCTGATATATATATATATATACATGTGTCTCCTCGTGGTCAGTAGATGTACACACACGTGTGTCTATAATGCTGCTATATATATATATATAGATATGTCTCCTCATGGTCAGTAGATGTACACACACGTGTGTCTATAATGCTGCTATATATATATATACATGTGTCTCCTCATGGTCAGTAGATGTACACACACGTGTGTCTTACATGTTGTGTTATATATATAGATATGTCTCCTCGTGGTCAGTAGATGTACACACACGTGTGTCTATAATGCTGCTATATATATATATATAGATATGTCTCCTCGTGGTCAGTAGATGTACACACACGTGTGTCTATAATGCTGCTATATATATATATAGATATGTCTCCTCGTGGTCAGTAGATGTACACACACGTGTGTCTATAATGCTTTGTTATATATATAGATATGTCTCCTCGTGGTCAGTAGATGTACACACACGTGTGTCTATAATGCTGCTATATATATATATAGATATGTCTCCTCGTGGTCAGTAGATGTACACACACGTGTGTCTATAATGCTGCTATATATATATATAGATATGTCTCCTCGTGGTCAGTAGATGTACACACACGTGTGTCTATAATGCTGCTATATATATATATAGATATGTCTCCTCGTGGTCAGTAGATGTACACACACGTGTGTCTATAATGCTTTGTTATATATATAGATATGTCTCCTCGTGGTCAGTAGATGTACACACACGTGTGTCTATAATGCTGCTATATATATATATATACATGTGTCTCCTCGTGGTCAGTAGATGTACACACACGTGTGTCTATAATGCTGCTATATATATATATACATATGTCTCCTCGTGGTCAGTAGATGTACACACACGTGTGTCTATAATGCTGCTATATATATATATACATGTGTCTCCTCGTGGTCAGTAGATGTACACACACGTGTGTCTATCATGCTGCTATATATATACATGTGTCTCCTCATGGTCAGTAGATGTACAAACACGTGTGTCTATCATGCTGCTATATATATATATATATATACATGTGTCTCCTCGTGGTCAGTAGATGTACACACACGTGTGTCTATAATGCTTTGTTATATATATACATGTGTCTCCTCGTGGTCAGTAGATGTACACACACGTGTGTCTATAATGCTTTGTTATATATCACTTTTCATATAATCTCTGACATTTAATCGTTATGTTTTAAAATTGACTCTAGATAAACTTATTTTACATGTTGGGTAACATCTATTTTTAGTTCAACGTTTTGAAAAAGGATAATGACGGTCGGTGAACATCCGGGGTCGCCGTGTCTAAATATAGAACATGTACGTCCTGATAGTGTGTTTACAGAGTATGTCCCTGAATATATCACAATAACAGCTGGGAAATAAAAAATAAACGAAAACAAAATTAATTTCACGTAGGTATCTTAAATATTGCTATAATATTATACCACACCTTCAACACTACCAAGTCGGATTCCTTGTCACCAGTACTAACACGTGACCTCTCAACTGTGTTATCAATATCTGAGAAAGGAGGTCGAGTTATGGCTAGTTGTCGCTGAAAAAACCCGTCATACCCTACTTGTTTCATAGAGGATTTGAAAAAAAGAAAAGAAAAAAAGTGATACCTATGTAAGACATATTTCTGATAATTAGCATTTTGACTTGCCTCGTTTAAGTTATCTATGCAAAGTAAATGTTTTGGTGGGTTTCTTAAATGATGTATTACAATACAGTATTGTTCATTTCATGAGCGGAACTGATAGTGTCGGGTAGTTAACAGTAAGATAGACAACGTTACACAAGTTTATTGTTCTCCGGAAGGATCAACCACTTAACGACAGATCATCACAACAGCTCTTACAAGTTGGAGCGTGTCCCAAGGTCTTTATCTAGTCTGACTTTGGAAAACAATATTAATGAATTTGGATTTCTTTCAAAGTTGAGATGTTGCACATACATAAATCATAGATAAACTTTTACTTTCGAAAACCATGTTATTGCATTGTATTTACAAATTCTGAGAAGTTACATTCACTCAGGAACTATGTGTGGTTAGCCGCTGTATTTACGAGTTCCTGTTAGTCTTTTCAATACATCACTTGAGAAATTAATTGAGATGGAGAATATGGAAACCTTTTCAATGGTTTGGCAAGGTTTTCCCCAGCATCATACCGAATTCAACGACTTTGTAATTTTTCTCGAAACCACAAGGATTGGCTTTTAATCAATATGTACTTAAGCTGTATAGAGATTTGATGAATGTATGTATGTGTATTGGATCGTAAATAAGATGTCATTAGATATAAGATACTAAATAACGAGCGTTACAACCCCTTGAGTTAATAGATAAATAGATACATGTGAATGGAGATTTATACAACGAGTGTATAAATTTTGACAAGGACATAAAGATTGAACATCCAGACAAATTTTGTAGAAAGCAGACATTTCCGTGTCACCCTTCAAGTCATTTCAAGTCCTTATCTGTGGTTAGCATTTCTCGAACATAATGCAATCTATGAGCCTGTGACGTCATCCATTTGAATATCGTCGTAATTATATTTGTTAAAGATGTTTGAAACTAATGTTTGACCGGAAGTAGGCTAGAATTAAAATTAAGATAACTTCTAGCGTGATATCACATACGTTTCAGCTTTACATACTCTGTTACCAGTTTTCCTGCTTGGTGCGACGTTCTGTAAATGTGTGTTCCTGTCGGCTACATTTTGTTACGGTTTTAACAATTCTAATGTTCTTTTCCGACTGTAGAGTTATTCTCATGAGTAAAACTTTCAACTTTCAACAAGAAAATCAGCAAATTTTGCATGAATTGTTACCACAAAGCACACATTTAAAATACGTGATTTCTGATGGGTCAGTATGCCTGAATTTTAGGATAAAAAAACATAAAACATGGTGATATGTTGAAATGATAACGACAGACAGACAGACAGACTGACAGACCGACAGAGAGCTGGCTTCGTGTGAATACCAAAACAAAACGGAGGAAAGGATCCTAGAAATACTTAATGAAGCTGACGACCTTAAGCGTTGATAGTGAGAAAGAGAAGCTGGTTGTCCCGGAATTACAATATGGGGGTCAATAGGTCATTTTCTATGAGTGGAGGGAGGTTATGAA